AAGGGTTAATAGTAATGCAATTCTCTTGATCTAAGGTCATCAATGAATAATTTAGGTTAAAAAAATGTACTTTAGTTTAAAGAACACCTGGTGATCGCATTTAAAGAGATTTCTTAAATAATCTAGTGGGCTATCACTACGGGCAAAGCATCCAAAGCTACAGTCAACCTTACTTTTTCAACTTCAAATTTTTCCATGATTTAAAAGAATGTCATGTTAAAATATTGCTGTAATATTGTGCAACTCTAGGGTGCATAAGAAAACAAGGCAGACATGAGAAAAACAAGACATTGCAATGTTTTGAATTGCCAGTTGGATGATTCACCTGCCTATCACATTTGTTTTGCATGTCACTATCACCAAATGTTGCACAGAAGAAATAATGTTATTTATCAAACTTCTGTTCCCTTTTGATCTGCATCAACTTCCATGCAAGTTTCATCTGCCTGGGACTTTGTATCCCCTGTCTGGGTTTGGGAGGAATCCTCCTTATTGCCTGAGGGTTCCTCTTGAGTTAGTGCCACATCTGCCTGAGTCTGGGAGGTTTCTTCTTCAGTTTGTGTGGCATCTGCCAAAGTCTGGGAGGAATTTTCCTCATTGGTTGAGGGTACCTCTTGGGTTTGAGACACATCTGCCTGAGTCTGGGAGGTTTCTCCCTTAGTTTGTGTGGCATCTGCCAAAGTGCTAGAGGAATCCTCCTCATTGGTTGAGGGCACCTTTTGGGTTTGTGACACATCTACCTGAGTCTGGGAGGTTTCTTCTTCAGTTTGTGTAGCATCTGCCAAAACTTGGGAGGAATCATCCATTTTGCTGGGGGCTTCTTCCTGCTCTTCTGAGGCATCAGCTTGAGTCTGGGAGTTTTCATTCAATTTGCTTGAGCTTACTCCATCATTTTCATTTTCAGGGATTTCCATTTTGCTTTCAGCTTCATCAGACAGACTTCCACAACTGTCCATTGGGGTCTGACCAACTGATGTGTCACCCTGCTTTTCAGAGCTATCAGTCTGATTTGAAGCTTTAAGCTTCTCATCAAAGAACTTAAAGATTGAATCAAAAGCTGCATGTGAAGTGACCTCATGTTTCATTGTACCTAAAATAAACAGAAAAGAAGTTATTGCATATCAGTCTATAACTAAGAAATATTATGGCACTTCATAAAGTTATTCTAACTAAGTTGTAAACAAAAATAACTCAGTATCATCCTCAGAAAGAAGATCAAAATAGTTTTACAAAAGGTGTATCACAGAACAAGAAATTTTTTAACCTCACTGTGTTTTTTTTAACTATTACACCCTAAGTATTTTCCACTCTGTTTTATTCACATTTTCTGTAATACTTTCAAGGAGAATTTATTTCACAATCACAAGCTTCCTAAATTGGTGATAATTTCCTTTAATCTCCTGGTCCTTACATTTGATTCAAGTGCAATACTGTTAAGAGAAATTAGAATCCAGTTATTTTTGGGGGTTAAAAGGTTAATGGTGCAGATGTTCATTTTCTATGAATTAAGTGTGTTCATGAATTGAGATCAATAACAAACTCTGCCATTATGTTTGATATTTATTTGAGACAATTAACCACTTTAAATGCTTCCTATTACAGTCTCCCCTTCCCCTCTGCCTTGCTCTGTGTTG